CATTTATATTTAATTCATAATTATATAGATTTTTCATTATTCTTAGTAAATATTTAAGATAATTACCTTTTGACCTAATATTTTAATATAATTATATAAATAAATTAATTCTTAATTAAATTATACTCTATTGTATACCAACATAAAATTAATTATTTATTTTACTACCACACCTATTATTATTATTATTATTATTGTTATTATCTATATTATTATTATTTATATTTTGACCCCTAAACTTTTAATAATTATATTATTTTACAAAATTACGCATAATAATATATAATAAATTATATATTTTCTGAATTGAGATTAAATAATATTAGTATAAATTCTACAGAATAATTAAAAATCTGAGTTGTTACATAACCAGTGGATGTGATGCCTTGAACTGTTCAGTTGTTTGTGTAAATCAAGACAATAGACTACACATAGTGTATCCATAGACACAGTTTGGTTCTTACGGTTGTGTTTATTTTGGCCCTGAACAACGCCTGGTAATTCATGAGTGCTCTAGAGAATTTAGCCTTCTTAATTCTCAGAGAACCGGCCTAGTTCACACTCATATAGGTGACTTCTTATTAAGAGTATTCTACTATACCCCACTTGGATGCCCAAGCTATAAGAATCATTAAAAGCAAAATTTATCCTACTAACACTGCAGGAATCACTCTTCTTATCATATAAATGGGTAGGAGTAAACTTCCTTAGTGATACATGAAGTCATCCATAATTCGATTGTCCTTTTGAACATAGATCTTGGGATCTCCAGTTAACTAGGTTGGGTTGCCATTATAGTGATTTTTAAGTAATAGGCTTTAATCACATTCCCCTCGATAAATGGTACATTTGCTCTCTGGCTAACCCTCTAGTCAATTGATCCGCAATATTCTCCTTTGACTTTACATATTCTATGGAATTATTCCATGTGGGAGCAAATGCCTAACGATATTATGTCTTCGATGAATGTGTCGAGACTTACCGTTATACATATGATTTTGTGCCCGTCCTATTGCTGCTTCACTATCACAGTGAATGCATACAGCTAGCACAAGTTTAGGCCACATTGAAATGTCTTTTAAGAAATAACGAAGCCATTCTGCTTCTTCTCATGTTTTATCTAATACGATAAACTCAGATTTCATTGTCGACCTTGCTATGCATGTTTGCTTGGAGGATTTCCAAGAGACTACAACACCTCCCAGGGTAAAGATATATCCGCTAGTGGATTTTGAGTCTTTAGTATCTGACATCCAATTTGCATTGTTGTACCCCTCGAGTACTGCTGGATATTTGGTATAATGTAAGCCATAATTCTGGGTATATTTTAGATACCTAAGTAACCTAATTATCGCTTTCCAATGAACGAACCCTGGATTACTTGTGTACCTATTCAATTTGCTTATAGGATAGGCTAAATATGGCCTAGTGCAATTCATTAAGTACATCAAGTTTCCGATTATTCGAGAGTACTCTAATTGTGATATGCATGCACCTGTATTTTTCGACAAATGAAGACTAATGTCAATAGGTGTTTTAGCAGGACGGTCGTCATGCTTTCCAAATTTCTCCAAAATTTTCTCAACACAGTGAGACTGAGATAAAGCATATCCTTCAGATATTCTAGCATTTTTTATTCTTAAAATTACATCTGCTACTCCTAAATCTTTCATGTCAAACTTTTTATTCAACATTTTCTTTGTGGATTTAATCATATCATTATTACTTCCAATAATGAACATGTCATCCACATAAAGACAAATTATGACATAGCCTTTGTCTGTGCTTTTAACATAGACGCATTTGTCACATTTGTTTATCTTAAACCATCCGAAAGTATAGCGTGATCAAATTTTTCATGCCATTATTTCGGAGCTTGTTTTAATCCATAAAAGGGATTTGACAAGTTTACAAACATTTTTCTCTTAGTCGGGAACTTGAAACCCTTCTGGTTGTTCCATATAGATTTCCTCATCTAACTCGCCATTCAAAAAAGTTGTTTTAATCCATTTAATGTATTTCTAGATTATACAAAGCTGCAATCGCAATCAACATGTGAATGGATATTATTTTTGTCACTGGTGAATAGGTGTTAAAATAATCAAGGCCTTCCTTCTGCCTGTATCCCTTAATAACAAGCCTAGCCTTGTATTTATCTATTGAACCATTTGTTTTCATTTTTCTCTTGAATATCCACTTATATCCAAGAGATTTACATCCTGGTGGAAGATGCACCAATTTCCAAGTATGATTTTGCAATATTGATTCAATTTTACTATTCACAACCTTTCTCCACAATAGAGCTTCAGGACTTGACATTGCTTCCGTGAAATTTTGAGGCTCATTTTCTAACAGGTATGTCAAAAAATCTGGACCAAATGATTTAGAGATCCTAGCCCTCTTGCTACGTCTAGGTTCATCTGATTCATTATCATTGTGATCTTCACTGCGACCTATAGTAGTATTAAAAGTTCGTTTATTTAAACTTATCTCTTCAGTTTCCTTGCAAGGAAAAATGTGTTCAAAAAACGATGCATTCATTGACTCAATAATAGTGCTTACATGCATATCAAGATTTTCAGATCTATGAGTTAAAAATCTATATGCACTACTATTTTTTGCATAACCAATGAACACACAACCAATAGTTTTTGGTCCTATCTTAGTCATTTTGGGACTAGGGACTGCAACCTTGGCTAAACACCTCCATACTTTGAAGTAATTATAAGTAGGTCGTCAACCTTTCCATAATTCATAAGATGTTTGATTGAGTTTCTTGTGGGGTACCCTATTCAGGATAAAGTTAGCAGACAAAATCGCTTCCCTCCATAAGTTCTGAAGTAACCCTGAACTAATCAACATGGCATTCATCATCTCTTTAAGAGTTCGATTCTTTCTCTCAGTAACTCCATTTGACTGAGGAGAATAAGGTGCAGTGGTTTGGTGAATGATACCATGTTTAGAACAAAATTCTTCAAATGGTGCATCATACTCACCACTCTGTCACTCTTTACTATCTTAATAGTTTTGCCAAGTTGATTTTCAATCTCAAGTTTATATTGCCTAAAAGTTTCTACGGCTTGATCTTTACTTCTCAATAAGTAAACATAGCAATATCAAGTGCAATCATCAAGAAAAGTAACAAAGTACTTTTTACCTCCTCTAGTTTGAACAAACTTTAAATCACAAATATCTGTATGAATTAAACTTAGAGGTTCAGTACTTCTTTAAACTTTATTAAATGATGCATTAATGAGTTTTGCCTCAACATAAATATCACATTTATGATTAGAATCAAATTCTAAGTTTGGTAAACATTCTAAAGTAAATAAGTCTACGCAAAGAATTAAAATTAACATGTCCTAATGTACCACGCCATAAAAAAGAAGACTCAACAATATAAACAGAAGATGTGTTCTTATTATTAAAAGTCAAATTAAGTACAACAGTTTTTACATTGAGCTTAAAAAGCCCATCACTCATGTAACCTAGCCCCACATACTTCCACTTTTGGAGAGTACAACTTTATCAGATTCAAAGACTAATTTAAACCCATTCTTGATCAACAATGACCCAGAAGTTAAATTCTTGCGAATCTTTGGCACATGGAGTACATTGTTGAGAGAGTTCTTTCCCCGAGGTCGATTTAGCACAATCTTTCATTGTCCTTCTACAGTTGATGTAGAGGAGTTTCTCATAAAAAGTTGTTCCCCACTTTTCACCACTTTGTAGGTTGTGAACGTCTTCTTATTTGCACAGATATGGCGGGTTGCTCCAATATCCACCCACAATTTCTTGAGATTGCTTACCAAATTTGCTTCAGAGACTACTACAGCAAGATTGATGTCTGCCACGCCATCGAAAAGATAAAAATCCTCTACTATGTTGGCTTGTGCTGGGTTTCTGCTTGAACTTCATCCGTCCTTGCGAATGTGACAATCCTTAGCACGATATCCATCTTTGCCGCACACAAAACACTTGCCTTTGAATCTCTTGTTGAACCCGTTGTTGATCTTACTAGTGGATCCTTGTTTGGGACCATTGCTATTATGCTTCGCTTTTTGTTGTTGAACTTTGACCCTTGTCCATTTTCCACAACATTTGTTTTAGCCTGCATGACATGGTTTCCTGACTTCTTGTCGGAACCACGGTTATCCTCTTCAATTCGGAACTACACTACCAGTTTCTCCAATTTCATCTCCTTACGCTTATGCTTTAGATAATTTTTGAATTTTTTCTAGGATGGTGGCAATTTTTCAATGATTGCCGCAACCTGAAAAGATTCACTGAGAACCATCCATTCCGTATGTATGTCATGGAGAATTAATTGGAGATCTTGAACCTGACTAATAACCGTCTTGGAAATCTATCATTTTAAAATCTAGAAAACCGCCAACAATAAATTTCTTTGTACCGGCGTTCTATGTCTTATGATCCAGAGATTCCCATAGTTCTTTAGCAGTGCTTTTAACATTATACACATTATACAGTGTATCATCCAACCCATTGAGGATATAATTCCGACATAGAAAATCATCATGTTTCCATGCATTGATTGCGGCAACCACTTGCCGGTCAGTCTCTCCCTCGTTCAGTGCCGGGGCTTTTTCATGAGTGAAGCGAGTCAAATTCAATGTTGTAAGATAAAATATCATTTTTTGTTGCCATCTTTTAAAATCATTGCCATTGAATTTTTCTGGCTTCTTCCCATGATTTACCGGTACTGCCGGAGTCATCACTAGCACAACAGGTGTGGGGGTTTAAGTACTAACAGTCTCAGTACTGTTAGTTTCTGTTGTCATAATTCTGACGAAATAAAAATAATACATCAATCACAAATTTATATACAAAAGAATTTACACACAAAATAAATAGAATAATATTCTGTAACAAGATTCTAATGATAAACAGTATATTACTACTATTTAATTTCCCGAAACAAAATACTTGTCTGTCTATCACATAAATAAATAAAAATAAAAAAATCTACTTTAAAATTGTTATATCCACAAAGGTGTATGAGTGTAAATTAAATAAACAATAAAATAAAATAATTCAAATATATATATATATAAATTATTTTCCGAATTAAAAGCTTACAAGAAAAAAATGTCGAGACTTGTGTTGGACACAATCTCCTTAAAGTAGATTTCTCCCTCGCTTCGTTCTTTCGAGTTTTATCGGCGCCTATTTCCCAGGAAGCAACGACTAACACTTGAATTTTGCAGCACTATAAAACCAAGCCTTGAAAACCAAAATTATGTTGTAACTATTTATTTTTTCTTTCTAAAATTAAAAACAGAAAAAAGTAGAAAGACAAGAGGACGACTTGAAGGAGAAATGAAAAAATGCTCTCAAAAAACTTGATTAAAAGAATTGCTGGATGGCCAACTATTTATAAAAGTGGAAATGACTTTTCCGAACAGGTGCCAACATAAATGAACCTGTTCGGATAGATTCAATAACCAAAAACTTGACCTGTTTGGACTGTTTGAACAGATCTGTTTGAACTATTTGAACAGATACAGATCTGTCTGGTTTTGGAATGAACAGGTATAAACCTGTTCGGGTTAGGAAAAAAATCTGGACTAACTTCCTGTTGAATTTTGAAATCAAAATTAAAAATAAATAAATAAAGTACAAAAGTTTTTGGTAAAAAAAGATAATTATTGGGTCGAACAAGCCCAACCCAACCTCACACCATGCACCCACGCCCAACCCAGCCGCCCGATCGACCGGAAGGGCGGCGACACGCGCGTGGTTTTAATTTTGGATCTAATGGGTCTAGCCCACTTCACCCATAACATTACCCTTCCACAAACTTGGGTATCCCTTGGAACCCATCCCAAGTATCCAATGCTAAGGTTTATAAGCCCAAACAATTCCTCAAGCATTTCCAATATGGGACAAGCACATTTCACAAATGTGTAGTAAACCCACCAAAATACATTTCCACAAACCAAAAAATGCGCGTTGAATTCTCATTCATCCGGAAATGGTTTTGAGCAACTAAATACATGAATTTATTCACTACGCAACATTAAACATGAACCCAATTATAAACATTAAAAATAACGCTTGGTCTCACCTTAATTAATGTTCAAAGTTGGCAAAAAATAACAAAAGCCATTTTCCAATAGCAGTTGTTACTGCTGTTTTCTTGATCTATTCAATCGGTCAAGAAAGTTTTTCTAATGGTATGCCTCTAGGCATATCCAGTACTTTCAACTTCATGATTGTATTCCAGGTGGAGCACAACATCCTTATGCACCCATTTCATATATTAGGTGTAGTTGGTGTATTTGACAGCTCCCTATTCAGTGCTATGCATGGTTCCTTGCTAACTTCTAGTTTGATTAGGGAAACCACAGAAAATGAATTTGCTAATGAAGGTTACATATTCGGTCAAGAGGAAGAAACTTATAATATCGTAGTTGCTTATGGTTATTTTGGCCGATTAATCTTCTAATATGCTCTCACATGGGTGTGAGACCCACACAATGTCAATATCATATAAGTCCTACATCTATGTAAGATATTTGGTAGAAATTTTGGGATCTCTAATATTTTTATAAAAGAATACCCAAACCATCCTGAAATTTATCCCATATTAATTACAACTTGCTAAAACACTTGCATTTAATTCAAACCTATCTTTACTTAAGCTCCGTTTGTTTTAAGAGGCGTTTGTTTTAAGATGTAGAATGGAGGGGATTCATAGTGAGGGGATTCATAGTGAGAGGATTGTTAGTGAGGAGATTAAGTAAAATTGTGTTTGTTTTGATGATAGTTGTTAGTGTAAGAATTGTTAAATTATTTTTATATAAAATAATAAAACAAATAAAAAAATATAAAAAAATTAAACATTAATATTTATAAAAAATTCCCAATATATAAAAAATAAAAAACTTTCTAATCCCTTCACTATTTTTCTAATACCATCTCCCCAACCTCCATCTCAATCCCCTTCCCAACCTCCATCTATCACCTCCACCATCCTAATCTCCTTCCCAACTCTACAAATAAACACAACACTAAATAATACCTCCACCATCCTAATCCCCTCCCATCTACTTAACCCCAACACAAACGACCCTTAGGATTTTGTTAAAGTTTACATTAACTCTTTTTTTTTTGCCCTAAACATGATTTACTAGTTTTTTCATATTTTATTCCAACTTATCCCATATTAATTACAACTTGCTAAAATACTTGCAATTAATTCAAACTCAACTACTACTTTAACTTTTGGAAAATGCAATAAGGTCAAATTTTCTACCAAACAAATGATCAAATATCTCACATTGCAGACTCCACACTCATATGAGACATTTGGTCATTTATTTAGTAAAAAATTTGGTATTCCTAACATTACCCTTAACTTTTAAATATTTGAAATAAATTAAATTAATTTCAAAAATTTAACGTAATTATATTAAATTTGTAACATATAATTCATACAATATTTATTTATTTGTAGATTTATTAGTGATAGTCTAATTCTATGGAAATATCACATTAGGTTCAATAATTGATCTTTTATGAAGATAATAATATAATTAATGAAATTATTTGATAAAAAAGACCATTCATTATTTTTATTTTTTAAGATATTTTTTTACCACATTGTCGTTAAATCATTGTTGGTTAATCATTGTTGGTGCCGAAGAAGTGGTTGACAATGATCAACCGTATAAACAAATAAGATAAATTTTGTGCAAAAATAAACGAATGACATGTAAACAAATAAATATATAAATAGATAACACTTAAACATATAAATAGTGTGTAATAGTTGACAAATAGACAACTGAGTGGACTTGGAGACACTGCTGTGCTGTTGTGTCTCATTTTAAAATGCATTATGAACTTATTTTTATAATTTGAATCGTTCATTTTGTAAAATTTGTTGAATACTTCAAACCTACTAAAAATCATATTAATCGAATATCAATAACTATATGATCGAATTGCATATTTTTATACTATTTTTCAAAAGAAAAACTTCTTGTTTATTTTTTTGGTTATCAATCATATAGTTATTGGTATCCGATTAATATGATTTTTGGTAGGTATGAAGCATTCAACAAACCTTATAATATGAACGGTTCAGATTATAAAAATAAATCCATAATACATCACAAAATAAGGCACAATAATCACTGCTGTGTCAAAGGCACGACAATGACCCAAATTCCCAAATAAATAAGGAGTAACATGATGTGTCAAATTATATCCGTTTTAGTTTTGAAAAAATAGAATTTAAAATTGTAACCCCAACAAATAAGGAGTAACATGATCTTTCAAATTATTTCCCTTTTAGTTTTGAAAAAATAGAATTTAAAATTGTAACCCTAAAAATTAAAAATGTAAACTTATGACTGAATAAGGTGCAGTATGTAGACACGTTTGGAGGATTTGAGCCTGGGAATCAAACACGCGGCAATAGTCGTTGAGGGAGTTGGTGAGTAGCAAACTCGGCGACGCTTATTAAAGGGACCAGGACGAGGATAGTGAATCCGAACCACCTCACAACGCTAGAGAGAGAAAGAGAGAGAGAGAGAGAGAGAGAAGAGGAAAATGGAGGAGAAGAATTGGAGCAGTATTGAAGTGAGTGGTATGCAATTCGGTTACGATGGCCAATCACCGGTATTCATCGACTTCACCCTCAAGATCTTGCCCGGATCTCGATGCCTTCTCGTCGGCGCCAATGGTTCTGGTATTCTTCGTGCTTCTTAAATTGGTGTCATTTGAATTTTTTATTTTTTATTTTTTTTTTAATTTGATGTGGAATTTCAACTACTGTTATGTTTGATTGATTCCAAAAGCCTTGGGATTGGATTGGCAATTTTGTGAACCCCACAAAAACACGTTAAAGATGTTTGGGTGGAAAAATGTGATAGAACTAAGGCCATGTTGATTGTTTGATTAGGTCGGATTGTATTATAAGGACGGTAAAATTGAGTGATGGAATTACTGGTGTGATGTGAGGTTCCATTAAATATTTTTCTTATAAATTGATTTTACACAAAAAAAAAGAAAAAAAAAAGAAAAAAAAGAGTTTTTGTTTTTATTTTTGGTTGACACGCGTAACAAAATTATTTTATTAATTCAATAAAGTGTCATTTACTATTGTTTTTAGTCATTTGAGATACTTATTTGAAAATGTAAAATATATTAAAAATATAGTGGGTAAGACTCAACTTTGTAAAAATTGATTTAATAAAATGGTAAAAATTGATAAAATATATTTTAATTACATTTTATTCTACCAAACCATGGAAAATGAGTAAAATATTACGTCAAAACAAAACGGAGCCTAAGTGATATAAGATGAATTTTGTTTATTTATTTGTTTGTTTGTGTACTTAATATATTTTCAATGGTATATCGTGTTTGTTTGTTTATCCCTCCTCAATTCGATAAACAGAGCCTTAGGATTAATACTTCCATGGATCGTTAGTCCCATACTTTTTTTCAACCAAACAAGATTTAGGTGAGATTGCAACATGGCCTAAGAGTTTGAACTATGAATGCCATCCTTGAGGGATTAACATCCATGGGTGCTAGGATTATTCACCTATGGGATTGGGGTGAAAAGACTATTTTCCTCACTTTAAAAAATAACAAAGTCACCTTTTCATATAATAAGAGATTCATAGATTTAAGTCTCGACCAACTAATATGCACAAATAAATACCATTTATTTTATTTCTCTAACCTAATACCATCACACTAGTATTCTCTTCACTCGATTCTAGCTAGCTAGCACATTCTGGCGAGTCCTGAAGGTACATAACCCGTTGAAATTCATTGTTGATTTAAATATTGTACACACACCCACACACCAAAAAGAAAAAAAGAAAAAGAAAGGTAACATGTACTTTTGCTAATGTTGGTCAAATATGGTGGAAACAACTAGCCAAGATCCTCCTGAAATTTAATACAATAAAACCATGGATTTTAATATTGAAAATGAGATGAAGAAAAACTATTGTAGGTTGTCACCTCCAGCAATAAGACAACTTAGCTGGTTCATGAGTTGGTTACTCCTAAAGCTTTATGAGGAAAAACTCATTCAAAATGAAGTAGGTTTTCAGGTTGGATGTGGCCTACAGTACATGAACATTTTTTTGTCAATTCCATCAGTTGCTTTTCAAGTTCTAATTCTGAGGTCCATTCAGATCTTCAAGTCACAAAATAGAATTGCGCAGTGGAGCTGCCATGCTCATTTTTGTTGAATCACAATATTACTTTATGCTCTTGACTGTACTGAGTTTCTATGTTGTTGTCAGTGAGAAATGTTGTATTCTTTTGCCATGATTCCAGCCCATTACTCATATTTTGTAGGGAAGACCACTTTGCTGAAGATTTTGGCTGGGAAGCATATGGTTGGTGGAAGAGATGTTGTGCGGGTGCTGAATTGTTCAGCTTTTCATGACACACATCTAGTCTGTAGTGGTGATTTATCCTATTTGGGAGGATCTTGGAGTAAAACTGTTGGGTCTGCTGTGAGTTCTATACCATGCTCATAATAGAATATACTTTGCATAAATAGAATGTGAAAACTTATAAAGTGAAGTGCCATGCAAGAATCTAGCATATATTATTTCTTGTTTGGGTTGCTAGACTGCTTTTTGTAGAAATTTAATGTATAAAGAGAAATAGAAAATTGTATTATTGATTGATATATATTGTGATGTATAAATTTAATGTATAAAGAGAAATAGAGAATTGTATTATTGATTGATATATATTGTGATGTATTGTATGTAAATTATATAGGAGATGGAGATGTGAAGTGGAGGTGGAGTGGTGGAGTAGGTGAAGTGGAGTGTGTAGTGGAGTAGGTGAAGTGGAGGTGGAGTGGTGTAGTGGGTTAGGTTTAGTGGAGTAGGTTTAGGTGTACATTAACAGCCCTGTACTTGACCAGGCTGTTTATGCAGTGTAAATGTTTTTTTTTTTAGTGGATGGATCTAAGTAGCAATTCATGGATATCCTTTGCATGACATTTTAATACTTCCCTAGCAATTTAATGTTGTCAAATGTTAGGAACTTATAGATTTTCTAGATTTATTTTTAATAAAAAATAAAAAAGAACAAGGCTATTGTTCAATTTTAGTTGAACTCATCTATCTCATCGACTCCCTAACTAATTTCTATTGTTTAGAAGTCCAAAGCCTTGACACAAAGAAGTAAAATGTATTCCATAGTTTCCAAAGGGCTAATATCTACATTTCTGTAGCTTTTATTCTCTCTTGAGCCATGAAGTGCATATGAAGCCCAACCCTCACAGCCATGTATCAACTAATTATTCTATTTATGATTCTCCATAACCCATGGGCCTTGTGCAAAACAGAGTTGATATTGATCTACTACTTTATGGATTGTCTGGAGAGAAGAAGCTTCTATATTTGATGATAAATCTTTTCCAATTCCCATGCTTTTGTAACAATTTTCATTGTTTATGTAAGATATCTAAGATCATGCTGTATTTGGTGTGGTGGGTATGGTTCATGAGTCTCTGTAGACTGTATTTGTGTTCAGTTAGTTTTTGTGTTCTCAAGGTGGAGAGATAGGCTAGAGCAATAACATTTTAGGCCTTTCATATTTTAAGTTTTCCCTTGGTTTTGTGAAATTGTATTTAATAAGGCCACTATAAAGGGAATATTTATGATACTTTAATCAGAGATTTCTGGGATTTTACAAATTTAATGTTGGTTTCCTAGACAGCATGCATCACATGTATTCTGTACAAAACATTTTAAATTGCACCGTCTTTGTAACTTTCAGGGAGAGATTCCACTTCAAGGAGACTTCTCTGCTGAACATATGATATTCGGAGGTTAGTAGATTCAATACAAGTTCTATTGTGATAATTGCTTATTGATAAGAGCAACTTACACTTCACCCCCCTCCCCCAACTAAAAAGTGCTACATATTTTTCTTGATCTTCTGATTTGTTTCAATCTCAACCTTCTTTTATGAAAGAGGACGAAATATTGGCATGTCAATTGCACATACCAATTTTATGTCCAAAATCTCCATTCAAGAGCTGATTCATTTACATATATGTGAGAGATATTTGTATATATAAATGTATGTACATGTTAATTTAATGACCAAAGAGGAAGATATATTCATCTCTCAAATGTATGTATATAAACTAACTTTTGAATCTGCATTTTCGTCATAATTTTGGCATGTGCAACTTACATACCACTTTTCTGTCCTATTCAATGACAGAATGTTAACAAAAGATTGAAATTGAAACAAATCAGAAGATTTGGGGGGAGAGGAAATGTAGCATTTTTAGTTAAGAGGTGTAAAGTGACAACAGCCCATAGTTGAAGGGACTAAAATGTATTTTTTCTTTATTTATTCATGCCATTGCAATGTTGTACTTTCATCCATTTCTTGAATTAGGAGTTAGTATGCAATCTTTCTATGTGAAACTAAACTCAGATTATAATTTACATACAATTCTTAATCCACAAATATGAATCATATTACTCTACAGAAAATTGCCTTTCTCTTGTTGAATCTGCTGAATAATTTGAAACTGCATTGTAAACCTCTTTGTTTTTTCCTCCTTAATTTTTTTTGGGGAATAAATCTCTTTGTTTTTTCCTTCTTGTGGTCCAGTTGAAGGGGTTGATCCTGTTAGACGAGAGAAGCTAATTGAATTGCTAGACATTGATCTACAATGGCGAATGCACAAGGTTTCTGATGGTCAGCGACGTCGAGTCCAAATCTGCATGGGTCTCCTTCATCCTTTTCAGGTATTTTTCATCCATATGGCTCATAATATGTGAATCAAAATGTATTAATTACATGTTAGGTTGGGCTCCATCAGTTTCAGGTTATGATATATATTAGCAGGCCAAAGTTGGTGCATATCCAGCAAGAGTGATGTGATTCCAGAACCCTAAATATATATAATTCATGTTAGAAGATTTATGGACCCAAGTCTACCTTTTTCATTTGCTTCCCTCATGAATCCAATAGCTATTTCTTTGTGGAACTAAACATAACATGAGATTGCGGATATATTAATTTTTGGTTTTTTTTCTCTTTTGGAATCTGTTGGATTTATTTATATGTGTGATTATTGTGCATGTTAGTCCATGAAGGTGCATGTGGGCATGCACTTGCATGTTATACATAGAACAAGTGTATGTTTCTGTTTTGGACCTTTGTTCTCTTAGCATGCATGCTGTTTTAACAATTGGAAACTATTCTTGTGCAGGTTCTTTTGCTAGATGAGGTTACAGTTGATTTAGATGTTGTCGCAAGGCTGGATTTGCTGGACTTCTTCAAGGAAGAATGTGAGCAGGTATGGACTTACTTTAACCATGACTAGTTTGTTGCACATGTACATGAAGAAACAAGATTCTAAACATGGGAATTCATGTCCCTAAAATGGGCCAACACTACATGTGCATAGTAATGCTGGATGGATCACTGATTGGTCCTGACTGAAAAGAGTTGCTACTACGTATACATTTTGGTCATGTGACTAAACGCTTTTTTTTTTTTTTTTAAAAAAAAAAATTGAACTGTAATTATACAGAGAGGAGCTACCATTGTGTATGCAACCCATATTTTTGATGGACTGGAAACATGGGCGACAGATCTTGCATATATCCATGCTGGTGAGTTAAAGAGGACTGATAAATTATCCGAGCTTGGTGAGTTGAAGAACTCTGCCAATCTGCTTTCAGTGGTCGAGTCTTGGCTTCGTTCTGAAACGAATACTGAGAAAAAGAAACCCACCAATCCTCCAGCTGAAAACCAGAAAACTTCTCCCTTCGATTCCTCTCCTTTTAGGTCATCCAGACACATGGCCTACTATCGTTGACCTCTCCAAATTGGTTATTTTACCTGATACTTAAAATTGAAAGTCATCTATACAGTGGTGGTTTTAGCTGATATTTCAAATTGAAGGTCATCTATACAATGGTAGATACAAAGAGAAGGTGATATCGGCTGGAAGTCAGTAATAATGCTGTTTCAGTGTAGCTTTTTGTTTAAGTAGGCATCATATAGTTTAGTTTCTTTCCTAAAAATCTCAGAAGAAATTAGGGTTGCAATTACTGCTAGCATTTTGGGTTATTTTGTTACATGTTGAAACTCTTTGAATAATGGCCTCTGGCATATGTTATTGTTAATTTGTAACAGAAATAGTGTGTTTGCAATATATCAACAATTGCTTCCATTTGAATTCTGTGATCATCTATGATATACCTTTGACAATATATTGAACCTAAAAGATTTCCTTTGACAATGTATTTGATTGAAAAGTGTGTGCACACCACTTTGACAATTGTACCTCCTTCAGTTTACGAGGGGGAGTGATCACAGACGTGACATTTTTTTTCCTAAATTTTTGTCTCCCTATTGCTTAGATTATGTTTGAACTTACATGGATTTGAGATTGAATTAATAATTCAACAAATACATAATCTCACGTTTGACTAAGAAAATTGAGGTCTGATTCATGATCTACCTGAACATGATATCCCTCGTATGGGGATTATTGAATCTTAAAAAGTTTTTTGCTCATAACTGGATGGAAGTGTAAATCCCCTGTTGGTACAAGGTTGGGGATACAAAATGGGAACTAAGGGCAGGTTCAAATTAATTGGATAAATTACTCTCTTCCAGGTCAAGCTAATGGGACTGATAATTTTATGATTAACAATTTTATAAATGTTAATCATATTTAATTCAGTTTGATCTAATGGCTGTGAATATTTTGACATAGACAGACGTTGTGGACAAAGATTCTTGACCGTGATCACCTACCAATACTGAGAGATTGATAGCAGACATGCCAACTGCTAAATATTGGAAGAATTAATTGATGGAAACAGCTCTTTTTTTTTTCTTTCCATTTTTCTTTTTTTGATGTAGCTGTTGCATTCTGATGGCTCTGTCTCTCCAGTTTGTGAATGCAACTAACTCATCTATATGAACATTATCCAATAGAATATTGGTTTACAAAATCTCTCGTTTCATTTTGTTGGCCTTAAGAGCACCTAGTGGCACAAAACAAAAAGAAAAGGAAAGGGACTTGTAAAAACAAAAAGAAAAGTTTTTATATTTCATTTATTTTCTTCTTCTGTTTTCTGTTGTCTCCACAAATTTCTTCTTATATCTAATTATCAAACATAATCTTCCTCTCTAAATTCAAGTTGACCTAAGTTAAGTCTATGTTTAGATTTTGAATAGGGTGAGATTTGTGGGAAGAGAGAAAAGTAAAAGTATAATGTTCAGCAGTGCAATACAAATAATTTGTTCTTAAAAACTTTCATTGCAAATTGATGCAGCATCTATCATATTAATAAATTGGGTATTATTACACATTTTAAAGTTGAACCACTCAACGTGACGTTAATAAATGATGCATGTAAAATTTGCACATTTGTATGCAAAAGTGAGAAATAAAGTAAAAGAAATTGGATTTTATGTGACATTTTCCTTCACAAACATCCGGAAAGACATCCTACTTCTACTACCGGCCTAATATTTTGTGAGACCTTAAAACTTAGACCAAATATCAAATAGAGGCCTTATCTTAATAGGTTTTTAAAAAATTAGAGCCTTCAACAATAAGAATTTTTAAAAACAAATTAAAAACTTTAAGTGATGAGTTAAGTGACTTAATAATTGAGCTACCTCTGCCTACTATTTCGTGGTTGCTTGTTATTATCATGTCAATTAACATATGCACTTGTAAGTGATTTTTGGGTGGTTTATTGTTAGTAGTTGTTGTGTTCCATCTAGAGAGAGAGGGAAGGTATGGTTTTGAAAAAGGAAGCGAAGATGCCCTATTACAATTTACACTGATGTCTGCTCAAATGGACACATATGAAGGTCCCATAATGCCCTAATCCTGAGGAATCCTCAACCTTCTCTTTTCCTCCTTTATGTGAAATATGCTTTCAACTTTAACTTTGTCCCATCTAAAGATTTGATGAGGTGGTGGTATACATGAAGAATACACTATAGTGGTCTTCTTTTTTTCCACATAAATGTGAGATTTATAGTGATTATAAATTCCACATGCATGTAAATAAAAAATTAAAAAAATTTGCACATCTCATTACACAAAAATAATTGGGTTCAAGTTTATGATATACGTGGGTTGCATCTGGTTGGATGGAATTGAGTAGGGCTGTGGATTCTCTATCATAAAATTATTTATTTTTTTGTATTAATTTATTTATAACCGCTTGACTATGTTTCATAATTTGTATATCTAAAAATTTTTATATAATTTAATAATTGTGAGTGAATTGAAATAAGAGAACACATTGTTTTTGAGAAAAAAAATTTATTTCCCGGAGAAGGAATGGACATGGGGCTCATGTTGTCAGATTTTGTTTCTTAATCCCCCAAGTCTACATTTGTTTTGATTTGGTTGTTATTTAATCATTCACGTGGTATTATAATATCAACTCTCTTAATAAATCATTCCTCATCATTCAATGATTAAAATTAGATCTTCAAATTTTATTTCATCTTTTTTTTTTTGAAGACTATCTTTTATTACATTCTAATCAATAAACAATTCAATAGTACATAATATCACCCAACAACTCTATGATACAAAATAAAAAATAAAAAATACTCCCTCCATTTCAAAATATTTTTCCCTTTTAGAGAATCTAACTTTTTTTTTTCTTTTTAATATAATTACACTTCAAAAATATATAACTTTTCAAAACTGCCTTTGATTTAAAATTAAAATAGAACAATTTTTTTTGAAACATCAGTTGTCATGATTATACTTTTTCTATATATTAATATTAATGAATTTAAAGAAAGGCAAAATAAGAAATTCATGTTATTTTAGTGCTTAATTTGTTTTAAATGGACTAATATTTTGAAACAATGAAAAATAAAATAAGAGATTAATATTTTGTGACGGAGGGAATAAAAGAAATGTAAGACTGACAGTATTATTTCTCTCCCCATAGTCGCATTAATCTTTTATCTTCAAACAAAAATGACCTGTGTTATAATCCTAAAAGTTATCGTATATTAGAAACAACGAGTTTATGAGGTAAATATAAATTTTTAGGAATACTTTCTCTTCACAAAAGGGAATCCTAAGAAAATATTTTTGCATCAATAAGCCAACATTACAAAAACATCAGTTGTCATGATTATACTTTTTCTATATATTAATGTTAATGAATATAAAGAAAGGTAAAATAAGAAATTCATGTTATTTTAGTGCTTAATTTGTTTTAAATGGACTAATATTTTGAAACAATGAAAAATAGAATAAGAGATTAATATTTTGTGACGGAGGGAATAAAAGAAATGTAAGACTGACAGTATTATTTCTCTCCCCATAGTCGCATTAATCTTTTATCTTCAAACAAAAATGACCTGTGTTATAATCCTAAAAGTTATCGTATATTAGAAACAACGAGTTTATGAGGTAAATATAAATTTTTAGGAATACTTTCTCTTGACAAAAGGGAATCCTAAGAAAATATTTTTGCATCAATAAGCCAACATTACAAAATTGTAAATATTATTTTCCCTTAAATAGATTTTTGTATGAAATCTTGTACCTCTAAGTTAAATTGTTAGGAATGAGATAAAATTTTAAAATTCACTTCTCTTAATATTTATTCTCAGCAACCAACTATTTCTTTACTTCTGATTACTACCATTACAACTTGTGATAACCACCTTAGTCCTTCCTAGCTCCCCTGTCAACCCTCAGCTCCTCCCAAGCTCCTCCTGCCAACTTCAGCCTAGGGATGGCAATAGGGATTAATGGGATAGATATTAATACCCCATCCCCATTCTCTTATAATAAATTTTTCCCATTCTCCATCTCCCATTCTTCATGGGTACTACCCTTCCTATCTCCTAAGCGGTTTGGATTTTCTCAAACCCAACTTCACCCTCTTTTTTTAATTTTTTTTTTAATTTTAATTTTCTTTTTAAGGTTCACAACCAAACTTTTTTTTGTTTTTGTTTTAAAGCTTCACAACCATGAGTGTGTTATGCGGAGGTACAAGTGTTTGTTTCGAATATTTGTCTTGTTGTGAATTAAGTTGCGTTTGCTAAGGTGTAAGATAAGTTTGAAGTTTTGAATTTGATTCTTTTTTTGCTTCTAATTATTGCATTTAATTTGTTGAATTGGCTTTCTATGGAGGTGCTCTTGGTTAGTTGTCTCCTGAGTTAATTAAAAAAGTCGTTCTGTTTGGTTTTGCGTTCAACATTTGTATTTAAAAAAAATAAACACCACAAATATGTTTTTAATTTTTAAAAACTTTTTTTTTCACAAAAAAGAAGAAAATAATATGACGATGATGATTGTTTTTAAATTTTTCATTATTTTTCATCTATTTAGTTTTTAATGTTTTTCAAGAAGTAAAATTTGAAAGCAAAACGAAGCATAGCAAGTATTGTTCTGCTAGACAAAAGTATTGTTTATTGTAGCTTAAATGAACTTATTGCTTTTTTTTATAATATATATATATCTATATAATAAGGGAGAAGGGTTTTTGAATTTATCATACATACATTTGTTCTACTAGGACATTTGAACGGTTAGGATTTATTTCTGCTTGAGAATGAACGGCAGAAATGATAACCTTCTATCTCACTCTACCTCAACTTCCCACCTAAGAGCCACACTTCAAAAATACCTAAAACTTTGCAATCACCTCACTTCAAATCACACTCACCTACGCTCATCTCTCTCTGTCTCTCTCCCTCAGCCTTACTTCCCATTGGTACATCTCTCTCCGACCGGTCAATGGTGCCGTTGTTTCGATGCCGTTATCAACAACCTTACGTCCCATTGATACATCTCTTTCTGACCGCTCGATGGTGCCGCTGTTTCAGTGTCGTCGCTTCTAGATATAGATCCACCACCACCGTCAGTCGTGAGATACATAGCTCTCACACACTTCTCCTCTGCTACAGCATACAGACAACTGATGATTTCACCACCGCTGCCTCAGAGAATCTTTTGCCGAACATAGATCTATACACTAGCAGTTGTTCAAGTTCATCGGTGATGGTAGTGAACTGATATTGGTTTGGAATTTCTCAAATTTTTGGTTATATAAACTGTTTATTCAGAATTATCTGGTTTCCTTTTCTCTGAGACCAAATTCGCAGACCTGATTGAACAAAAAGGCCAAGACATCTGTGAGTACATATATTAAAGGAAACAGATATTGTATAGAT